CACCCAGGTAGGTACTGAGTGCAGTTGTTATGGCAGGAACTTTCTCTTTTGTCACTTCAGCATTTAAAGGAAAACTACACCCATTGGCCCAGAATGAAGGTTTGAAATAATAAGAGAGAACCAGTATTTCGTATTTAAATAAAGGTTTTCCCCTAGCAGTAACTGTGGGGCTCATCCAGATATCTAAGGCAGACAGCTCTGTTCCATGGAGTAGAAATTGATGTTATATGTAAATGATGCCCTTTTGTATATTCAAGCCAAAAACTCCAATTGCAGCCCCCTTGTCACTAATTAAAAATTTGGATTAATATCTGGTTACAAAATAAATTGGGGGAAAATCAGAACTATTGGGCAATTTCCTGATTGTCGTGTAGTGGGACTTTCTCTCAGAGGAATTTCTACAAATAAACTGATGCAAGTACCTAGGTATAAAAGTACTAAGAAATATTAATAAACTAGTGAAGATAAATATGGATCCAGTACTTTCTCAAATAGCCAATTATATAGATAGGGGGCATCCTCTCTCCCCGAGTTTGTGGGGAAGAGTTAACACAATAGGAATCAATATTCTGCCTAGGGTCCTCTATTCTAAGTGGGCCACCTGTGTGTGTGTGTGTGTGTGTGTGTGTGTGTGTGTGTGTGTGTGTGTATATATATATATATATATATATATATATATCCCTCTGTCTTATTTAAAAAATGTATAGCATTAGTAGAGCCTTCCGGCAGGGCCTTGGTCAATGGCCACAACTGTAATTTTAAAAAATCCAGCTACCTATAGGTGTGGGGGGCCGGGGGGAGGTTTGGGCTCCCAGACCTACCTCCCAAATCCAAACTACTGTTAGGCTTTTATCATGTCACAGATGTCTAACACTCTTATACTCACGTTGGTGGAAATTGAACATATGTTAATGCATCCAGTTCCCCCGGGGGGTGCCCTCTGTTCTTCTTTTTGTCTGATGGAGAAAAACAAAAGTGCCTACCGTGGTGGCTGTGCTAAGGGATCTGGGCTATTCTGGCTATGAGGTAACCATTTCATCCTAACTGTCATGCAAAAGCACCTATCTGAGGCAACTCAAACTTGCAAATTGGGAACAAACCTGTAATTGGGAAGAACTGGCTGAGCAGGGGCATCATATGGATTTCCCAATTAATCAGTCATGAGGGTGTTTCCCTTCTCTAGCACTAAAGCAGCGTGATGACTTGCCACCCTTAGTGGAGTGGCAGTACTTACCACACTTGCTAACATATCAATTTGGTCTAGATACTGCCCTACCCCTGCCCTGCCCCTTCCCCAAGGCCCCGCCCCCCCACTCACTCCATCTCCCTCCCTCCATCCCTTGCTCTCCCCCACCTTCTCTTACTCTCACCAGGCTGGGGCAGGGGGTTGGGGTGCAGGCTCTGGGCTGGGGGTGGGGCTGAGGGTTCAAAGTGTTGGAGGGGGCTCAGGGGTATGGGAAGGGACTCAGGGCTGGGGCAGGTGATTGGGGTGCAGGAGGGGATGCGGGCTCTGGGTGAGAGTTTGGGTTCAGAAGGGGGCTCATGGCAGGGGGTTGGGGTGGGGGATGGGGTGTGGGCTCTGGGTGGGAGTTTGGGTGCAGGAGGGGGCTCGGCTGGGGCAGGAGGTTGGGGTATGGGAGGTGTGGGCTCTGGGTGAGAGTTTGGGTGCAGGAGGTGGCTCAGGGCAGGGGTTTGGGGTGTGGGATGGGATGTGGGGTACAGGCTCTGGGTGGGAGTTTGGGTACAAGAGGGGGCTCAGGGCTGGGGCAGGGGGTTGGGGTATGGGAGGGGGTGTGGGTGAGGGTTGGCAACCCTATTCTTGAGGGCTGTAATGATCGCCAAGGGAGTGGTTTTACAAAAGGGGAAGAGTAGGCTTTTGCCTAGAATAGCGCCGTGGTATTTGGACCTGTCTGAGTTAGAAGCCAAAGAAAGAGGAGTTTATCATCGTAGAGAACAATTATATGGTTTTGAATAAATTTGGACCACATTTCTACATACATCTGGATAAAAAAATCTTGAGATGGCTCAAAGAATGCCAGACCTCCATTCTACCTAGCCCTTTCTCTTTCCTCCCTATTTATGTATGTCTTCTATTTTAACACTGTTTCCCCCCCCTCTAACTTTTATGCTTATGTAGCATTATATGATCTTGCAGCTTTGACACATTGTCAAATTGCATAATTCTGTTGGAGATCCCATGAAGCATGCAGTGTTTGGAAATGTATACAGGCTGTGAGACATTTGCCTTTTTGTACTTTTCACTGTCTGTTTCTTTATGAAAACCAATAAAAAAAATTAATCACAGAAATAATGATTTGGACTGATTTCTGCTCTCAGAGATGCATGGCGGCCCAGTAACATCAGATTGATCTTTCTTTGGTTGTTGAACAGTTTCAGGATCTGGTGTGTGAATGGACTGAGAGGAATAAAATACAAGTAGCAGTAATGCTGGCATATTGATTCCCTTTATCTACATATAAGTGCAGGCTACATTGGCTGCCTGTTAGTTTCTGGGTGAAGACTGAGGTGTTCTTTTTAACCTCTAAAGCCCTAAAGAGCTAGGGACCTGCTCTGAATGGCTAGTTGCTATGACAACGGGTTGCTTAGTAACAGGATTTGTTACAGGGTTGAAAGCTTCTTTCCTGCCTCTACCAAATGTGTCTACTTTGGGAGGTCATTAATTTTACATGGGGCAAAATTTGGGAAGATTTTTCAAAGGGTAGCTGTAGGCTTCATGTGCAATATCCTATGCATCTGTTGAAAAATAGTATTTTGTTTCTGGCAATGAGAGTAGAGGCTCAGCTCCCTCCCTCTCTCCCCTTCTGGACTGAAATATAGTTCAGCAGCTAGAGAGGGAAAGGCACTGCTTGGGAGTGAGACGCCTACAGAGTTTTCAAGAGAGCGTAGCAACCATTGGAGCAGTACTCTTGCTTGCAGATATAACTGAGATAGGAGATACCTGAAAGCAGTAAAAAATATTAGCAGCCTCCGACACCAGTTGCCTTAAAAACAGCTCCCAAAACTACATGGACACATCATATCCATGCTCTTCACCAGCTGGTCTGTTGCCAGAATTCTGCCATCATCGCATGGGTGATTAGCTCTGGCTGCCCATACTGTATGTAGGGGGTACTCTGTGGCTGTGTTGAGACACCCAGGAAGCTCCTGTAGTGTATCAGAGGACAAAATTTGGCCTTAATGTGCAAATATTTTTTTCTTTAGCTGATTTCTCAAATAGAAAAAAATATTGTGTTGTGCCGTATCAGTAAGGCATAGCTCCCCACTGTTCACCAGTTGTGGGCATTTCTGTGGACTCTACGCTTGCTAGCACAGAATGTATTGTAGGATTTCTGGGTAATATACCATCAACTGAAATTATACCAAGTGATACCCCACCTGCTCTGTCAGAGGACTTAAGTCTCATTTACCCTGCCCTTCAAGTGTAAGTGTAATTTACGCCCACAGGACACGGCTCTGGCAATGGAAAATGGCATTATAGGAGCATTAGTGTAAATGCGAATCAGGCCCAGAATTTGTTCAGAGGGAATGTCGATCATTTGAAATGGGTTACGCTGGTGGTGATCTTTCTGATCTCATCTCTCTGTGGACCAAATAAAATCAAGCCTGGGGCTCAACAGCATCTTTGTTCCCTGGTGAGTCGAGCTAATACATCACATGCCACCCTCTGGTAACTGCACATTGCTGTGCTTCTAATGGAGACTCTTGCAACATCAATCATTTCTTGCTTTATATTAAAGCAAGACGGTATGTCGGAGCACTTCACTGGATAATACAGAACAGACAATAAACATTAAATGAGCCATATCGGCAGTGACAGCAATACATAAATAGAGGCGAAAACCCAGATGCAACATACGCAACGTGAGACTCTTTAGTGCCAGTTGATAGAATTTCTTAGTAGCAGTTGACCTTTAGCATTGTCAGTACAGTTAGAAAATGCAGTCGCAGAAATGGATTGCAGTGAGAGCCTGCAGCTGTGCCATATTGTGCTGTGATCCCATCAGACAAGAGTCATTGAGGAAAAGATGAGGTTTTAGGAAAGATTTGAAAGGAAGTAACTAATCAACAGATTGTATTGCACCAAGCAAAGGAGAAGGGGAGAAGACAGAGCGATGAAATAGAAGAAGCAGAACATGGGGTGAATAAGCATTATTATCCCCAGGGGGAATACTCAGCCACTCAAAGGCTAAATCATCACAGTGAGTCAAAGGCAAAGCAGAGAATAGGACTGAGCTCTCTCTACTCCTGGTTCAGGATCCTACTACTGGATCACACTGTCTCCTGCTAATGCTCCTTTATGACAGTAGGGGACTGCCATCGAAAGTGCTGTTTTTTCAGTGAGAAGGAAAACTGAGGTCATGATCACTTGTCATTAAAGAGATCATGGTGCTTTTCAGAAGAGTAGAGATGTCACCCCAGTATTCCAGCCAAATTATAAGTTAGGTCATTACCTTTTGCATCTCTAAAATTCTCCAGCAGTTTCAACTGGAAAAGGGCATTCTTCACTTCCTGTCCTAAAGTTTTGTGAAACATTGCTGTACGCTCTTTGTTTCAGTCCAGAGAAAGCTGCATTGCAGAGGCTCAGGGAGTGAACCCTGAATATAGTTTGTGTCAAATGTTGTTAGTTTTGCAAAATGTTTTGGGATCAGTCCGTGCAAAAGGTGCTATATAACGAGAAGATCCCTGTCCTCTCTAAGATTTGCCTATCCGTTTTGGGGAAAGAACAGCCTTGTACTGTGGATCTGACATACTGGCTGTCAATTACAAGAGTCTTCAGGCCCCAGTCCTGTGAGGTGCTGATCATCCTCAAATCCCATGGACTTCAATAAGATATGAGTGCACTCAGGCTCATGCAACACATCAGGGTGTCTTTGGCAAGCTGCCTGGATGCTAAAGTGTGGGAGTATAATGCAGGGGAAGGGGAGCATATTAACAGAATGCATTTTTTTCTAGACTTATCTATTTTTGTTTTGTTTCAGGCTAACAAAATGTTTGGCACTGTGGTGGTGGGGATCGGAATTGCTGGATCTGTGCGGATAAGAGACATGCTGAATCCGATGCCTTCCAGCCCTTCTGAGCACCTGAAACTGTTTGGCTTTGTATCCAGGTTAGATATTTCAGTTATGTGTTTTAATGAGCATGGTGTAGAGATTATTTTTGCCCCCCATGTACTCTCTCCCCTTTGCATGTATAACTTTCCAGGCTCATCTTAGAAGATACATTTCTCCGATATAATAATTCAAGGAGGTCTGCTGGGTGCACAGTAAATGCGGTTTATGTGACAGCGCGTAGTGTCCATAGGTTAGGTTGATTAATGATTGCAGGAAGCTTTGCAAAGTGCCTCAATGAGATCATTCAAGCAGCTCTAGGACTCAGTCCAGAGAGATGCTGAGTGTCTCTAATGAGGTGCTGTGCACCTCAGTTCTCACTTAGCTCAGGGAAAGCTGAGGGAGCTCAGAGCCCTGTAAGATCAGGCCTTTAAAAGAGACTCGAAATGTAACCAAATGACTGAACTCTGCTGTAGGATGGCACAGGCTTTAAGCAGCTGCACTGTTGGGCCAGTGTCTATAAGTAATTCATCTGTAGAACTCTGGTAAGGCGACTCTGCTGTAAAATTTGTCTTTGAAGCCAGATGTGGATTTTGAAGAACAAATCATAATGTAGGCTGTGCAATAAGGTTACCTTTTAGGTGGCAGTATCATTTATTCTCAGCAACCATGTGGCTGAAACTTAAGTAAATCTGCACAACAGTGCTGCTATCTCAGAGTATTCCTATCAGGCTTTCTGCACTATAGCAACAAAGCATAATGGTTTAAAATAGTTATGTGGAATGTACGGGGATCTCGGGTTGTGGATGTATTTTCCAGCTATATTTAATCATATCTGTTTGAGACAGAAAAGACCTATTAGGCCATCCATTACATCTCCTTGCCAATGCAACCTTGTTCCTAGGGTGTTTTTTCTAGTGCTAGATCTACTATTGAATGACCCAAGCAATACTTGGCTTCCACCACTTCTATTGGGAAACTGTGCCAGTCTAACACATAATTCAAAATGCTGCTACAGAGGTAATTCTCCTAGCATGTCACTTTGACCATGTCACCCTTCTCTTTATGTCCCTCCATTGGCTTCACCTTCTCTAGTACATCAAACACAAATGACTCATCTTTATTTTCAAGGGCCATTATGGCCTATCTTCATCCTACCTTCATCTCGCATACACTATTAAGATGTTGACTCCTGCCTCTTCTCTAGCAATGATGCCAGTCTTCACCACCCAGCTGTTAAATTTTCAAACAAGCAACTATGTGCTTTTTCTCTGCTGCCACCCATGTTGGGAGGAGCTCCCTGTAAACATCCTCCTCATCTCTCCTCCAAATCCCTCCTTAAACTCTCCTTTGCCATGATTCCTACAATGATTAGGCCACTGGTGTGCTGTGACCACTGTCCATTAAACTGACCGATATTGTCTGTTTTCTTTTGCTCCCTTGTCTGTTTGTATCCCCATTGTCTCGTCTTGTACTTAAGCTGTTTGGCGCAGCAACTATCTTTTTGATCTATGTTTGTACAGCACCTAACACAATGGGATCTTGGTCTATGACTGAGGTTCCAAAAATAATTGGGGAGCGCGGCCTGTGGTTGTGATATTTTGTTTTTTTTATTTCTTTCTATTGAACAACTAGAAGAACCCTCGGTAATATTAACGAGGTCAAGCAGATTAGTCTGCAAGATGCTCTGGGAAACAAAGAGATCCAGGCGGCCATCATCAGCACTGACAACAAAAGCCATGAGGAGAATGTCAGGTATGTGTCTCTCTTTTCCTCTTCTCTGCTTGTTACTTCCTTACATTAGGCACTGCTATGCAATGGAACGTGCTGTATCAAAGAATGAATTCGTGTCTAGAAACATTCCTCTTTGTTAGCAATGTAAAATAATCCCCATATTCTCAAAGTAAATGTGACTGTGAGGTTTACCCACCTGAGGTAAAATGAGACAGGTGCTCTGCTGCATGCATGTATTAGTACGGTTGGATTTACATGTATTTTGGAGGAAATACAAGAATTGGATTCAGAAAATACCATTTCCTTCAATTCCTCCCCTCCCCTCCCTACCAACTGGTTCCTGACACTCTCATCCATGCCATCTGCTCCCTAGTAACCTGAATTTCTGAAGCACCTGCTTAAGGATCTCATCGAGCTTTCCAAACATGAATGAATTAAGCGCCAAAACAATCTTGTGAGATAGGGCAGTATCCTCCTCATACGAACCTGGGGCACAGAGAGACTAAGTGACTTGCCCAAGGTCATGCAGGACGTCCGTGGTGGAGGCAGAAATAGAATCCAAATCTGCTAGACATGTGACTTAACCAGCTTGGGCTGGAGCCTGGGCTGTAGGACCCTGCAAGGTAGGAGGGTCCCAGAGCATGGGCTGCAGCCTGAGTCTGAATGTCTACACTGCAATTAAACAGCCCCTTAGCCCGAGCCCTGTGAGCTCAAGTCAGCTGGCATGGGCCAGCCATGGGTGTCTAATCACAGTATAGATGTACCCTAAGAAAATGCCTTTTATTACGCCACTCTCAACACATTCATTCATGCTATTTCCACATCCCTAGAGATGGGGTTGGCTGCTAGAGTAAGAAAGAGTTTGTTCAGAGGAAGAGAGATGAATAAGGTGGCATCTTTTAAAGACCTCTCTCTCTCTCTCTCTCTCTCTCTCTCTCTCTCTCTCATATCTTCTAGGATGTTCTTGGAGGCTGGGAAACATGTCCTTGTCGAGTACCCCATGGCGCTGTCCACTAGCACAGCACGTGAGCTCTGGGAGATGGCTGAGCAGAAAGGTGATGATCCTTAATGTCAAAGTTGTAACTAGCTTTGTACAAGGACGTTAGATTACATCTGTTGTGGTAGTGCCTAAGAACCTCAAACAAGGTGCAGGGCTCCATTATCCGAGGCATTGCACAAGGACAGGGCTTGCTCCACAGAACTCTCAGTCTAAGATTTAGGACTTCACCCAAGCTGCATTTTGAAGGCTAGTGCCTCAACTTTCAAGACACCGTATTACGGTCGGTTCATTCACACAATTCCTACTAAAGTCAATCGCTAAAATGCTGCCATTGTTTGCTAAAGTTGCTGTAACTGTGGACTGTAGGTGTGGCCCCCTGAGAACAATGAACCAAAATTGGATCCCTAGTGCAATGTCTTGACGATTTGTCTTGGCACCATTCTGCCAGCCACGGATAAGGCTGTTTGAAGTGTGCTCACACTGATGATTGCTAAAAGGTTTACTGCCTAGAAGTGGATTTGGATTCATGCAGAAAGCTTTTAGTAATCCCATTTGATCTTTGTTTTCTCAATGACAGGTAAAATCCTCCATGTGGAGCACATTGAACTTTTGACAGAAGAGTACAAGCAGCTGAAAAAGGAGGTGGCTGGGAAGGAGCTTGTGAAAGGAACGTTACATTTCACAGGTCGGTTGTTAAAGAAACTCAGGCTGCCTGTCCTGCTGAGATGCCAGCAACTTCATTCATTCATTCACTCACTCACTCACTCACTCACTCATGTGAGGGCTTGTTCTGTAGTAGTTTGAGTCATGGAGTCAGGACCCATCCAGAGAGACCTTCAAACAACCGTCTCCCTCTACTGGCAGTTGCCTGTGTCGGGGAAAGGTTCTGTGGCCTGCTACTCCCTCCCCAGTATCTTTGATGGAGGACAGCAAGCCTGTTCCCCTCTAGTATCTTCGCAGCTGTCGTCTGCTCTCTTTCTGCATTGGGGTATCGGTGACTTGGGGAGGTCCCTTTAGCCCCCTCATCCTCACCTGGTCTCCAGAGAGGATGGAGAGCTGCTGAAAATCACCCCACTGTCCACTGAGGACCCCCAGGCTCCTCCCCTGTTTTTGTCTTCGAAGAGGTGGGAGAGATTAACGGTTTCATTCCCCCATCCCCTTGTGTGAACCCATATACTAGTGCTCCCCAATATATCCTTAGGGTTTTCCTGCACGCTCATTGTATCTATGTCTGTCTTCCTCTCTGCCTTCAGATGGAGATCTGGGTGGCAATTATTTTCCCATGCCCTCTTCTGCCCGCCCATCTTCATCAGCTGTAACAGCTGGCTGGGTAGGTGGTTGCTGCCTTTCCCCGGCAGTGCTCTTTGCTGCCCTCTGTTTGGCTCTTGCAGCCCTCAGCATAGGGCAGAGCAGCTCAGGCTGGAAAAGGGGGATAAACAGGCAGCTTCAAACTTCCCACCTGGTCCCAACAGAAGCTCCAAGCAGATTTCTGGGTCGTTGGCCAAGACTGCAGAAACCGGAGATGGTCCTGGCCCAAATGGGACAGATGGCACACACATGCTATAGTGGGAGAGTTTCCTTGAGTTATCAGGATTTGAGGAGGGCAAGAGAGACTTGAAAGGTTTGTTTGATAGATTTCAACCTTTAAGAACAACAGAAAAGGGGCAGCATATCCTGTTGTGTAGCTCATCAAATGATCCTTTTCAGCAGATTAGATTTACTGGGGTCCCAACCGCGAGGCTCCCATCCCAGACTGACCCTCAGAGCTTTCCCCTTGCTTGACTCCATGTAGTTGATTAGGGTGGGGGTTCCTTTCCCACATCTCAAGTCCTTTCATTCTTATTCCTATAGGTGGTCCCTTGGATGAAGAGCGATCAGGTTTCCCAGCTTTCAGCGGAATTGCCCGCCTGACTTGGCTCGTTGACCTCTTCGGAGACCTCACTGTCACCTCAGCCACTAGAGAGGAACAGAAAGAAAAGAGTTATTCCAGAATGACAGCACATTTTCAGACTGCAAACAAGAAGTGAGTAATGTAACGATACAGGAGCAGATTAGCCATGCTATTTAGGTATCTTCAGCAGGAACTTGGCACCTTCTCTTCTTTGCACATGTACAGCAACTTTCATGCAAGAATCAAAAAGCACTCTACTGACACTAATGAACTAAGCTTCACAACACTCCTGTGAGGTGGTTAGATATTATTTGCCCCATTATACAGATGGGAAAACTGAGGTGGGGAGAGTTTACAGGACTTGGCCAAGGTCACAGTGTGAATCAAAGGCAGAAGTTGGGAATAGTACCCAGGGATTATACTCAAAATCCTTTGCTGTAACCTCAAGACCCAGTCCTTCCGTGTTACATTAATTACTGCTCTTCGAGCCTGTTACCTGAATACACCATGTGTAACCCTTCTGCCAGGCGATGTTGTCAGCAACACAGGATGGGTTCAGTATCTAGGGGTTACACTCAGCATTACCAAACAGAACCAACTTGAGACCCAACCCAGCGATGCCACTGCATGACACTGCCGTCTCTACAGCTGCTCAATGCTGCTGCTGCCACCTCTGTCACCATTTGCCAGTGTTGCTGCTTCTACCGCTTCTGCCTTCAGCTGCGATGCCATGTTCTGAGCTTCCTCCGCCTAGCCCTGCCCTAGTGATTTCAGCCCTTAGTGATTTCACCGCACAGCAGAGAACCTCACTGCTGATGCTCCCTCTATGTTGTCTTGCACCACAACACTGTCCATGCTATCAGGTCTTAGGCTCAGACCCTAAATGAGTTTGTCAGTGTTTTTAGCTGTAGTGATCACTGAGAAGAAACCAGGTCTCTCAACTGAGTCTAGTCAGCTCTGCCTTTATACACTAGAGGCGGAGGATCAAATGGCTTTTAGGACCCTTTAAAGAAATTCACACCACCAGGTAGGAACATCTGTCCCCACCCTCTCTGACTTTCACTTGGATTTGGCTCCTACTTAGCAAGTGATGTTAATTTAGGGTGACCCCTCAATTAGGGCATATTAAATACAGTTCTGCTGCCCTTTACTCATACAATAAGCATAATAACATTTCATTACCCCTGTGTCTAAGACTAAAGTGAATTTTAAGCCAGTGTGATGGGTTAGACCCCCCATCCGGGATGCCACATGATGTACTGGGGTTTCATTCAGCCCCTCCTGCTCCACCACCGGGATTCTCTCTCCCTGTTTTGCTGAATTAGCTCTCCGGCCTCCTACAGCGCGCGCGCACACACACACAGAGACAGGTAGGGCCACACGCAGCTGCAGACACAGACTGAAGTCAGCTCTGTGTGAGGGGATTCACCCAGCACTCACTTGCACACCCCCTTTGGGAAATAAACCCAAAATAATATTGTCTTGCGCTGTATAGAAAGATCTGCACAGCGCAAGCTCATAAAAATTCTCCCTCTCCCTCAATGTGAAGAGAGATGTGCAGAACTTCTTTCTCCCCCACCCAATTAGAAATTGCACAAACTGGGTTTAATAATAAACAAAACAAATTTATTAACTATAAAAGGCAGATTGTAAGTGATTATAAGGGATAGCAAACAGAACAAAGCAGATTTCTGAGCAAATAAAATAAAACATGCATACTAACCATAAGATCTTAGCGACTGGTTCCAAGAAGTAATTCCTCACCTAAAGGTTATTTTAGGTAAGTTGCAGAGTTTCAGTAGCTGAGAGTTCCAGTTATTTCTTCTTACAGACTGGACCCCTGTCTCAGTCTGGACTCATCCCTGCTTTTCCTTTCAGGTTAGTTCCTTTGTCCTTTCAGGTTCTTTCAGCAGTCCTTCTTCTTGGGTAGGCAATGGAGGAGAGTCCCGATCAACCCCCTCCCCAGCCCTTAAAAAGGATTTACCTAAGGCGGGAATCCTTTGTTTGGTCCCCATTCCCCTATAGTGGAAAAGTACCAGGTGACTCAGTCACGTCTCTCCGGGGTCGTAGCAGCCATTACTCGCAGGCTGTTTGGAGCGTCCACAGGAAGACTAAGCTCTTTCACAGGCCATTGTCCTTGCTGATGGGTCATCAGTCCTGTCTGATTTTTTCATTGTTGTGCCAGAAGGGCTAGTATTAGGTGTCACCCAAAGTAGCACATTTGAAATACACATACATGGTCAATATTCCTAGCTCCAGATAAAAAAATTATACGTGCATACAAATTGGATAAACACATTCAGTAGATCACAACCTTTTGAATGGTATCTTGCATGAGCCACCTCGCATAAAGTATATCTTAGTTATGCCATATTTATATCATAACCATATTTCTGTGAAGAATATGGGGTGTAACGTAACACCCAGAATAGCCAAAAGTGATCCCTTTGGCAAAGCAGGTCTGTCTTCTGATCACTTAGGCAAAATAGGTGTGTCTATGCAAATTTAGTCTACTCCTGAGGTCTTTTCCCAGTTCACCAAAAGACATTAGGGGAGAGCTTATTCAGGCCCTGGCTTACATTTGTATCAAAGTTTTAAAACATTTTAGATGGGCATTTACTGTTAACCAGTGATGGGGAAAAACGGAATAACCCTGTGGGTTTATTTCTTCCTCAATGCCCTTTGTTTTTCTACTCTCTCACATTAGACCTCTGACATGGATTGAAGAAAGGGGACCAGGGCTGAGACGTGATAAGAAAATCAACTTCTGTTTCAAAAGTGGCTGCCTGGAGAACCTCCCTGAGGCCCCAAAGTCTGCTGTGGGCCTCTTCATGCAAGATCAGAACCTCTTTGCCAAAAAACTGTTGGGCCAGGTCTCCAGAGAAGAGCTGGCCGCTGAGAAGTGGCGCATCCTGCGGTGCCTCGACCTCGCAGAGGAGATTCAGCAGCACTGTGAACGGCCGGCGAAAATCCATTCCTAAGGCCGCTCTTTATGAGAAAGGGAATGTGGTAGTCAGAGGCTGAGTAGAGCTGCAGCTTAGTGTTACCCTAAAGCAGCTTGTTGGCAGTTAACTTCTATTTGATTGGTTCTTACCATTAAAATCCATGGGGCTTTGCTCAGGAGCTTGGGCCCCACAAGTGTTTTATGCTGTGTGAGATATTTAACATGGCAGAACTGGATGATGCATTGGGCTGTCCCCAGTACATGGCATCTTTCCAGTCAAACTTAAAGCTACCAGGCAAAGAGTATTCAGACGTGTTGCTCCCACAGAAGTCAATGGGAGGTTTTGTCATTGACTTCCAGGGAAGCAGGCCCAATGAGACTGCAGAAGTTACAATTTATTAAATATAATTTTAGTTCCTTCTTCTTTTTAATATATATGAGAGCAAGGGATTTATAGCACTGTCTAGAATGAGGCATAGAGCTGCTCTACAAGCCTCTCTACCTCCAAAGGTGTTATAGCACCACACTCCTGACCTGCAAAACTTCACATATTCCAGTCTTGTCCCTTCCCTGAGTAATTGCCCTGAACGATACTTTGTGTATTGGCTGTGGGCCAGATTCTGTTATTTTACACCAGTGTAAACCAAATCCATTACTTACAATGGCATTTACACTGGTTTAAACACAGAATAAATTAGATCGGAATCTGTCCTCTCACTGGGCGTTATGCCGAGATCACTAAACTGATTTCTCTGCTGCCTTATGCCAGGTTGTAACCCAGTTTTCCAGAGGCGAAAGGTTAGTATAATACATTAACCCACTGCATCACCTGCCCCTTTTCAAGATCCTTTCCCCATAACCAGTCCTTGGCTCCTCTGTTTCTGAGCACAGTGGATCACTGGCACACTGAGGCATGCACATAACCCCTATTAATGTTCATGAGAAATCTGCATGTGACTCAGTGTGAGAATGGACCACTCTGAATAAATGAAATGTATTAATTTAATTAATAGAAACTATAAATAATACATTTATAGAAACAGGGACAATATAGTAATGCCAATTATAGCATGGTGTTAGGAAATAGCAAATGGCAACCATGCAACTGTGATATTATTTATTTGTTGTTTTTCAGTAGTGCCCAGAGACCCCATGGTGCTAGTTGCTATACAAATACATGGCAAGATTTGGTCCCTGCCATAAAGAAATTGCAGTCCTGAAAAGCGCCAAGTCATCAGCATGCATAGAGAAAAAACTGAAGCAATACCCTTGTCTCCCTGTATTATATTCTAATTACAACACACATCTGTTATAATAGCAATAAAGCCCTCTTCAGAATGTTTTGTTGTCTCCCGAACATACTTCATGGGAAGCCAGCAGCCCTTGTCCACATTGGCACTGGAGGAATAAACTCCAAAACCAAGCACATATATTATAAATTATAGACAGTATAATAAATCTAAAATAATGGCCAAATAAAACTTTAACCAAACTCATCTGAACAGCAGGTATGGTTCAATTGGAGATTGGGGATGGGCAGGATGGGGTATGTTGTTTGTTTGATTAGGTTTTTTTAATCCAAATCAGGTCAGCCAGACCTAATTAGTAGTATCTTTACTTTGAGGTGCTTCTAAGTTGTGCCTACAAAATATGGGCCTGATCCAATGCCCATAAAAATCAATGGAAAGCCTCCCTTTGACTTCATTGGGCTTTGGATCAGGCCTTAAATACACGTGTACACAAACAGGAAACGTGCCTGCGGAATATGCATTGTGTAGCCAAATGGGTACTTGAGTCCCAAACTGGTCTATTTTGCATTCACAATGACTTCTTTACACATGGACATACTTTGCAGGAGCAAATACAATGCCATCTTTGGAAGGAGGGAAATTTTATCCTCACTAGTTTTATGACAAAATGTGTGAAGTCCACCCTGATTAAAAATAGAATTAAAATCTTCTGCTATGGATATTCAGCAATGCACAAAATATTTCTGGTTTTATGACCTTCTCCTGTTTGCTGAGAAAGGAAAAAACGCTGTAGATGCTAGAGTTGATGACTCAGTCTCTCTTTTCCTAATCAGGTCACACTAAGTGTGTTTGAAGCGTTTTGCACATAATCCTGACTGTTTAAAAAAAAAAATGCACACTGCAGGGGAGTGTCTTAGACAAGCTGGAAAAAAACCTCAACAGGGAGGCAAACAGGTAAAATAGATCAAACAAACTGTACTTAGCAGTGAAGTTGAGTTTTAGGTTAAAAAAATAACCACCCCACTACACGCTAATACTTTGTAATCTTTGAGTGAGTGAAAGCTTTAAGGTGGGATTTTCAGTGTTGTTCTATCTGTGCTCAATGGGAATTTTACCATTAACTTCAATAAGAGAAGAAAGAAACCAGTGCTGAGTAGTTTTGAATGTTCTGCCCTTAACAAGCACTGTTATGTCTTGCTTGTGAATTCATTCTATAGAAGCTCTTCCGGTTATTACCGGCTTGTACTGCCAGGACAATGTGTATGAAACACTACCCTGTCTACCTTAACTGAAACTTCCCTTGCCATGCTATTGGTGTAGTTACACTTGTACACAGGGGCCAAATTGGAAGCTACATGCATCTGAGTCATTTTTCCAAAGGGATGTGGAGGTGTTAAAATGGAATTCTTCACGTTGCTCTCGAAGGGTGCTGCCTTAGAAATGCAGGATCTCGGTACAGTGACAGCCTTCACGCAGTCATTTCTTGCATGTCATGTTTTTTCCATTTTCTTGAGATGAAGGCAAAAGGCCTTTGATTAAAGAAAAATATAAATATCAATGTTTTTTAAAAAGAAAACTTACCTCACATGAAAACTGAAGCTGACGGCCTAAAGTGACCCTGTCAACCTTAAAATATTTTTTTTAAGTTGTTTGGTTTTATTACCTCACTTTGCTATTAGTGATGCTGTGGAACACTATTTGACTTGCAACTTATTTTTTTTTGCTAATATTTGTGAAAATGGAGGCAGACTTGTGACCATTCTGGATTACGCATGGCAGTCCAGTGACCTGCCCCTCCACTGCTCTGAGCACTCCCTTTACTGTGCACTGCAGTGTCTGATGCACTAGAGTTGCTTTGATGTCTTCCGAGATGTGAATTTGCTGATGTATTGTGGTGGTTCTAGCTACAGGTGTTAATGAAGGTGTTGCGTTCACATTAATAAAGCTGTTGGAGTCCAGCATATTCTCTGTAGTTTTCATTATCCTTCAAGTTTAACAACTCCCATTGCTTCCCCAGTAAGGCTCAATCTTCCAAGGTGCTGAGCCACCTCTCAGTACGTACTCGGCCCCCTCCAAAAGCTGCCTAAGGTGTCAGGCCTGGAGAAGACAGCTGACAGCTCTGGCCCAATAGGCTGCTGGGATGTGAAGCTCAGCTCACAGCTGTGTTTCATGATTAGAGAAACTACAAAAACCTAAGGTGGCCAAATGGCACCGGGAGATGGTCCGGGGACAAGACAGTGGAATAGACCCGAGCCTGCAAAAGAGACTAGGGTGCGCTCTTTCACCTGGATGCAGGGGAAGACTGGGATTGTGTGAGCGCCTTGCAGGGAAAGCACCCTGAGATCCCACTGGTCTCAGTGGGAGGAGAAGGCACCTCAGCTCCGCACAAAGGAAGTTCTAACAGAGAGATGACACAAGCGGGGGGTTCAAAACCTGCATCCCAGCCCCTTGCTGTTCTGGGCTGTGACCTGAGGCGGAAAGGTGCTGCCAGCTGCCTTCTGTGAGGTTCAGCGCATGCTCAGGGCCAATGGCTCTTAGCCCATCAGTCCCCATGTCAGCTTCCTGTCACATGCACAGAGTGCCCGTCAGGCTCAGCCACCTGGCGCCATTGAGATGCAAAGCTGGGAAACAAAATGGCGGCCCAGCTCCCAGGGTGCACGCTCCAGCCCCCAGAGAGTGAAGTCATTCGAACAGCAGGGAAGCCACTCGTGATGTCTTTAAACACCCTGAGCCGGGTGCTCTTGTGCTCTCTGCCATCAATGCCAAACTTGTGCACGAAGGCAGCTAATGAGCCACAAGGTGTCAGGCTGTAGCAAGGGCTCGCAACAGGCAGTGCTGGCCAAGCGAATTCTGCGAGTGGAGCACAGAAGCAGGAGCTCAGTCCAGACTTAAGTTAGCAGTGAAGGAGTTGGTCAATGGTTCAACAGCCCCTCCCGGGCCAGCGCTGAAGTTCATCCAGAAATGCCAGGACCCAGCAGTCTGCTGCTGATCACACAGGACAGCAAGAGAGTTCTGAAGGCACTGGGCTTTCCAAGGACTGGGATCAGCTAATACAAGTTGCTTTAGCTTCCCCTGCAGGTTCTAGCTGGATTTGTTGCTTGTTTAAGAGGACAAAGTACTTTTCCCTCCAGTTCTGAAAGTCACACAGGGTATGGGGCACGATGATAAACAAGATCAAGGCTCACCGGATAATGGACTTTTAGTGCCCACTAGATAGCACTGGTGTATTACAAAAGCTTCTTTGTCCATTTGTAGGAGGAGGAATGAGGGGGAATGGGAACTAATTCTGGGATCGTTAAAGGCAACTGAGGGAAATGTGCTCAAATTCCATTAAAATTCAGTTACATTTGTGCATCTTAGTTCCCTAAAATCCCCACAGTTAAGTAACAGCATTGTCAAGCCCAAGCATTCAAAAATGTATCAGATACCGCACAGTGTGCAGTGTTCATTAGAGGTGTGGATTGTAATTTGAATATAACTGAAGAATTGCTAGACTTAATGTCACTGAAGGGTACCGGGACGGGACTGGACATATTTCAAGGACTGGAAGAGTGCATTGAGAAAGCTGCACTGCCATGGAACAAACTCGTATCTTTGGCTACCGATGGTGCGCCATCAATGTGCTCTGAAAACATTGGTGTGGTTGGATTATTGAAGACCAAACTGAATAGCCTCAATATACCAGGAATTAGCTTCACCAGTATACAGTGCATTTTGCACCAAGAAGCCCTGTGTAGTAAAAGTCTACACATGAAGGAAGTTATGGATGTAGTTGTTAACACCGTTAATTTTATACGTGCACGAAGGCTGAATCACAGACCGTTCACTTCTTTTCTAGCAAGTATGGACAGCGAATATGGGGAACTTCTGTATCACACTGAAGTTAGATGGCTGAGTCGTGGAAACGTTCTGAAGTGTTTTTTTGCACTTTGATTCCTTCATGAAAATAAAAAACAAGGAAGTTCCACAGCTTGCTGATTCCACTTTCATCTGCAACCTTGCTTTTCTAACAGATGTAACTGATCACCTGAATGCACTGAACTTGAAGCTTCAGGGTAGAAAACAGGTGATAACACAGATGTATGACAGTGTTAAGTCATTCAAAGTCAAGCTTACTTTGAGGGGGCAACAGCTGACTGCTGGCAATTTGG